TTTTAAATGAACTATATTGAACAAGATTTTCAATGGACAAGATTGCTGACGGCCCTCATGTGAAACGAGACTCGATGAATTCTTAAACTCCCTAGTTATTTTGTAACAACCCTAGGTTCGTTGCATACTAACTAGGGAGGTTGCAACGACCCTAGTTTCGTTACAACGTCCCGGAACGAGCAGTTATTTTGTAACGTCCCTAGGGTCGTTGCAAACAAACTGCTCGTTCAGGGAGGTTACAACCACCCTAGGTTCGTTGCAAACTAACTGAAATCGCATATTCCCTGTAACATATATATATATATATATATATATATATATATATATATATATATATATATATATATATATATATATATATATATATATATATATATATATATATATATATCATTCGACGCGGCTTGACAAGGCAAATGCGATGGTACACTCGGGGGCAGATTGATGTTCCACCACTCCCTACCCATCGGGCTCCCATGGCTCAGCACTGGCTGCTGTCAGTGGCAGGACTGGCAGCACTGGCACTGGCAGGCAGTGCTGAGCAGTGCTGAGGGCAGGCAACACTGGCAGCAGCCAGTGCTGAGCCATGGGAACCCGATGGGTAGGGAGTGGTGGAACATCAATCTGCCCCCGAGTGTACCACTGCCGTAGCTCTAGGACCATTTTTGTCGAAGTTATTTGCGAAAAACTAAAAAACAGCTCGGGGTCGTTGACCTGACCTCTGACCTCAGGTCACTAAACCTATTTTTGTATTTTTTTCTAGGTCAAACGCTACACAACCGTGCTCGTAATTTGTCTTTATCTCTAAAACTCTATTTTTAGCAGCTATTTGAAGTTCGCGTCTGTGACACCGAAGTTTGCCGTGCAGGGGTCTAGAAAAATCGACTTTGTGACGTCATCAATGGGGCTAGATCCAAATTTTTTACTTCAGAAGATGTCAAATTGATGGGAGAAACGGTACTGAAAGTTTCGCTTTCCTATCCCTATAAACGTTCGGGAGCTATCGCAAATATTCGCCAGGGGGGGGGGGCGAAAAACGCCCCCCGGGCCCGCGAGGGTTAATCTAGTGTATGGGGCTTCTTGCCTCAGGCCGTGGGGCGTTTTGCCCTGGGGTTGGGGCAAAATGTCCCATTTGCAGTTGCTTCACAAAGCACTTCCTAGCTGGGAGTCCGATCATAAGTGAATGAATTTGAGGGGTGGAATTTAAAGTAAAATGTCCAAAGAACACATTGAGCACAAATTTGGCCTTCCAGGTGGTGTGAGACAAAAGTAGGTACCTATGTAGCAAAATAAATTATCTGGGGCGTCTTGCACAAGGCAAGACTTTATACTCTACGTACATTTGCTATACGTAGGCTTTTGTACGTGACGTACTTTTTTGTCCATACGTACTTTTTACCATACGTACTTCTGCGATACGTATTTTTGTCGTGACGTACTTTTGTCCATACGTACTTTTTACCCAACGTACATTAGATATACGTACTTTTGTCCGTGGCGTACTTTTGTCCATACGTACTTTATACCCTACGTACTTCTGCGATACGTACTTTTGTCCATACGTACTTTTGTCCATACGTACTTTATATAGTACGTACTTCTGCGATACGTACTTTTGTCCCTGACGTACTTTTGTCCATACGTACTTTATACTGTACGTACTTCTGCGATACGTACTTTTGTCCTTGACGTACTTTTGTCCACACGTACTTTATATTGTACGTACTTCTGCGATACGTACTTTTGTCCCTGACGTACTTTTGTCCATACGTACTTTATACTGTACGTATTTCTGCGATACGTACTTTAATCCTACGTACTTTTGCTAACGTACTTTTGTCCTACGTACTTTAGCGATACGTACTTTTGTCCGTAACCCGTTGATGCGACCCCCTGGCGTTTGAAAACGGAGCGTCGTAGAGCTTAGCGGAGAAGACCAACGGATTTCTCTCAACAAGATCTCGCGATTGGTGGTATATTTTTTGGTCCTAGGTCAACATTTGACCTACTTATGACCGGTCAAAGGTCAAATTTTCGGAAAAATCTAACTTTTTCAGATTTCCGCGCCGATTGCGGCAAAACGGTAAGAGATATCGACTTGAAACCTTCACTATCGTGATCCTTGATCAATTCTCTATCGTTTGGTGTATATTTCGATGTCATAACTCTAAAAATGATGCGTTGGGAGCATCGGAAGTCTGCAAGGTCATTTGTGCACTGGGTCACGTCAGGCGTGTGACGTCACTGACCTGACCCTGACCCAAAATGAACTACAAGAAACAACCGACGATGCCTGAAATGGATAGCAAATTCGAATTCAGGGCAGCAAAATACCCCGAAAAGGCATACAAGTGCAAGAAGTCATTACAGGTCAACCGAGGTCACTGACCTTACCTTGACCTTTAGTAACCTTCAAAATGTCAACGGACATTGTGCCAATGTCAAATCAGCCAGTTGTGATTCTAAAACAATCCATCAGTGTGTCAGGTCAGTCGGCATTTATACCAATGTGAAGCAATCTCCAATTTAGCGTAAATCTGGCCGGAGGTTGTTCCTTTTATGACGTCATAACTCCGTGACCTGACATGACCTTGACAAAAAATACCAAAAGTTGTGCAAAGGATGCCCCAAAAGGTGCTGAAAATTTGAGCAGGCTAGCTGAAACGGTTCGGCGTGTAGCTAAGAAAAACCTCAGGGGGGGTGGGGGTTGCACCCCCCTACATGGGCGAGGGTTAAAGTGTTGGTGCTGTATGTATTTATTGTTTAATATTAATACTTCATCCGTCAATGGGTGTGTGCCTGTGGATGATTGATGGAATAAACTAAACTAAGTAAACTAAATAAACCGAGGTCACCAAAGGTCAATGAGCTGACCTGACCTTCAGGTGATCTTGACACCCACCTTTATACACCTGGGTACCTGGGAGCAGCATCAAATCACATGTTTGAACGCTTGAAACAACGAAAAGACTGCAAACGCGCAATTAATGCGAGCCGACATACGCCGAATCGCGATTCCGGTCAAACATGGTCTCGAAAAGTAGGTCACAGGTCAAAGGTCATTTGGGTAGAGTTATGAAATTTTCAGGTTAGGTGTAAAATTGATGAACGTGAGGATACTGAAAGTTTCGTCTCGATCGGTCACTTTTTACGCGAGCTATTCGCGAAAAACCGAGGGGGCCGTTTGACCTATACGGCCGAGGGCTAACCCGCGCCCTGATGGGGTCTGCCGAGCAACGGGGTCTGATGGGGGGGGGGGGGGCATTTTGGCCCCCTAAGATCTCGAGAACCACTCAACATAGCGACAAGCGGTAAACGGCGTTGGATAGCCCCAACGAGGAACTACCTTGTGACCCAATTTCATTGACCTCGGTCAAACCGATGACGTAACAGGTCAGGTCAAAGGTCGAATTTTCACCGTTTACATGCATTTCAAGAAATGCGTTGTAAAATCGAGTAAAATGCATTTCTTTGAAAATCATCGGTGGGTAAATGTTCTTCAAACACATATTTTGCTATTTGAGGTCACTGATACCAGGTCAGGTCACAGAGGTCAGGTCACTGGGGGGGGGGGGTCACAATATGAAAGTGTCGTGTGATACATGTTTTATGGTCCATTTTACACGACAAATGCGATTATGTGGGTTAGGCAGACTTTAGGGCCAGCTTAGGTCACGTTTTGGTCAAGGTCAAGTCAAGGTCAGGTCAAGGTCAGGTCAAGGTCAGGTCAAATTGGGTCAAATTTCAAAGTTGATATTTTTGCCTAAAATGGGTATCGATTCGATGCAGCTCGTCACGGGGAGTTCAATGGTCGTCTCGGTTTTGCGCTACAACGTCTAGAATTAAATTGAATTCAAAAATTTGACGTCATCAATTTTTAAGTTTTTTTCGCTATAACTTGGCCAAAAGAAGGTATCGATCTAAAACTTGGTATGGATATCGAAGAGCGCAGGGACTATCACATATATTCCGGTTTTTCGAAATTCGAAAAAAATTGGAAAAGTTTTGAGTTTTTCTAAAAAAAAACATCATTTTTTATTTTTGGGGGTCAAAATCCCAAAATTTCGAAAATCCGAGATGGCAGTTTTGTAGCGCAGTCGTTTCTCTACACAACCACATAAAGAACTTTAAAATTGCTTGTTAACTGTAGAATTGGTGAGCGTTTCAAGATGTCATGTTTTTTGCTCATTTTTACTCGAATATGACCTCAGTTTGACCTCAATAACTCCTGACCTGAGGTGACCTGTGACTTGAAATTTTGTGTGAATGTGTCAAATTGATGCCCGGTAAGGTACCCAAAATTTGGCGCGCACGCCGTTTTCTCGCTATTTAAGAAAAACCACAGGGGGGGGCAATATGCCCCCCCATCAGGGCGCGGGTTAAGTCGGTGTGTGTGTGTGTGTGTGAGAGAGAGAGAGAGAGAGAGAGAGAGAGAGAGAGAGAGAGAGAGAGAGAGAGAGAGAGAGAGAGAGAGAGAGAGAGAGAGAGAGAGAGAGAGAGAGAGAGAGTGAGAGTGAGAGTGAGAGTGAGAGTGAGAGTGAGAGTGAGAGTGAGAGTGAGAGTGAGAGTGAGAGTGAGAGTGAGAGTGAGAGTGAGAGTGAGAGTGAGAGTGAGAGTGAGAGTGAGAGTGAGAGTGAGAGTGAGAGTGAGAGTGAGAGTGAGAGTGAGAGTGAGAGTGAGAGTGAGAGAGAGAGAGAGAGAGAGAGAGAGAGAGAGAGAGAGAGAGAGAGAGAGAGAGAGAGAGAGAGAGAGAGAGAGAGAGAGAGAGAGTCAGTAGGTGACACAGAGTCAGTCGGTGGGACGGAAACGGTCAGTCAGTCAGTCATTGACTGAAAATAGTCAGTGAAGCAGTGATGCATTGAGAAAGAGTCTGACTGTAAGACAGTGAGTCAGTGAGACAGAGTCGGACAATGAGACAGGAGTCAGCCCGCCAGTGACACAGGCACAGGTCAGACAGCCGCGTCAGTCGGCTGACCGGCTGAGAGGTCACCCACACTCACCGAGGCAGTTCACTTGGTCGGGGGCCAGCTGAAAGCCCTTTCTGCAGGAGCACTGCACGTCAGTGCCAGTGTCGGAAGCGGAACAGAGCTGAGCGCACGGGTTGCTGTCCCGGCACCTACGGGCCGAGGGGGCACATATTCAAATCATTGCCGACGCTTCATCGATCCGCTTCTTGCTGGGGGGGGGGGGGGGCTTAAAGGCCGTTGTACACGGGCAACTGCCGCCGGCAACTCTCAGCAATCGGTTGCTCGGCGACTCTGGGCAACCGATCGCCCAGCAACCGGTGGCAGCATGCGAGCAACTCCTAGCAACACCGATGAATTTGCTTTCACATTGCTGACGTCACAATTACGTCACGCCGAGGAACTGGGCGACTCTCGACAACCGGCATTCCAGAACCCACCGGCAACCGGACGCAGATGTGTTTTGAGGTTTGTGGCGTTGGATATTAAAGTTTTCTACATATTATGGGTGATCATTTGGGAATGAGATAAAGTAAGTGGCACGTGCAGATGTGTATTCAATAGCACACCAGACAAAAGACACGCCATTAGACTCGTCATCGTGGGACATTTTGTACTGCACACTATTATACACCTGCAAGCCACTGTTCATCTACAGCAGGTGCTCAAAGTGGCCACCCCCTTCTGAGCGGCACAGCTCAGCCCGACGGCGTGTGTGACGCGCCATCTTTCGCAGCTGCTCTTCGTCCATGTTGCGGGCGAAGTCTTCAACCAGTTCCTTTAGCTGTTCCAGCGTTTGGGGCTCGCTGCGCACGATCTGAGCCGTCACCAATGACCAGAAACAAAAGTCCAGACAAGACAGGTCGGGACTGTACGGCGGCCATCGGTGTTCACTGTTCCGGGAGATGACGCGGATGGCCAGGATGGACTCCTGTGAATTCTGGCTAACCCATGATGAGGAGTGGTTTGAGCGTGTACTCTGGAGTGACGAAAAGTGGTTTGTTCTGCATCCGTCTCCAAACATGAAGAACACCGTGTGCTGGTCGCCAGAGAATCCGAACAAGCTCGTGCCATGCAAGAAGGCCCAGGGGCAGAAGGTGATGGCGTGGGTGGGCGTGGTGGATGGGAAGTGCCTGCCAGTTCACTGGTTCACTGGCTCCGTCAACAGCGACGCCTACCTGGAGATGCTGCAGACGGTGGTGTGGCCTGCGGTGAGGGCTCGGGCGACGCGCCACCAGTACTGGTTCTAGCAGGACGGCGCGCCGCCGCACGTCACTGCTCTCGTGATGGACTTCCTCCACTCGAAGTTCGGCGGCCGCGTCATCTCCCGGAACAGTGAACACCGATGGCCGCCGTACAGTCCCGACCTGTCTTGTCTGGACTTTTGTTTCTGGTCATTGGTGACGGCTCAGATCGTGCGCAGCGAGCCCCAAACGCTGGAACAGCTGAAGGAACTGGTTGAGGACTTCGCCCGCAACATGGACGAAGAGCAGCTGCGAAAGATGGCGCGTCACACACGCCGTCGGGCTGAGCTGTGCCGCTCAGAAGGGGGTGGCCACTTTGAGCACCTGCTGTAGATGAACAGTGGCTTGCAGGTGTATAATAGTGTGCAGTACAAAATGTCCCACGATGACGAGTCTAATGACGTGTCTTTTGTCTGGTGTGCTATTGAATACACATCTGCACGTGCCACTTACTTTATCTCATTCCCAAATGATCACCCGGTATATGTATCGATATGGATTAATGATAGCTTGCCTGTGCCATCGTTCGCTAGTGATGCCACTATCTTTTTAATCCCAAAACGTGGTATTAAAAGTTAAAACAAATATCAAAGGTTGGAGTAGCTCGTGTAGGGGAAGGTGGGGTAAGACGGACCAGCTAAGGTTTGAGGCCGCATATCTTGCTACACTGCTCTCGTAATTCATATTATTTATAGTCTTCGTGTAACGTTTCTTCTGTATTTTCACTTTCACACAATACTATGTACACACACATCGGCAGCCCCGCGTCCCCGTCCTCTCGGCTCGCGGCCCGCCAGCCGACTGCCTGCCGCGCCGGCCGCGCCGGCGCGCGCCAACTTCCGGGCCGTGCCGCTAGGTGGCAGCAGCTGCCGGCCGCTACAAACCTCTACACCCTTCCCCCCTTGAGGGTATGTGATCCCGACTCTGGTTGTTGTTTACTTAACCCTCGCCCATGTAGGGGGGGGGTTGGTGCAACCCCCCCCCCTGAGGTTTTTCGGAAATAGTGCAAAAACGGCGGCGCGCAGCGCCGCCAAATTTTGGGTACCTTATGGGGCAAGCCTTGCGCATCTTTTGATAAAAAAAATTTGACCGGGTCATGTCAGGTCACGGAGTTATGACGTCACAAAGGGAACAGCCTCCGGCCGGATTTTCACAAACTGAGTGCCAACGCCCGAGGTTTCCTGCCGGTGGTACGGACATCGGTTGATGGATCGTGATGAAACTTCCCATGCATGTTGGGGCAAGTATTGGCTATCATATGATATAAGAAACTTGACCGGGTCAGGTCAGGTCGCGGAGCTATGACGTCACAAGAGGAACAGCGTCCGGTACTATTTTTGAAAAGCGCCCGAACCACTATTTTGCTAATTCTTGTCACCTCAATGGGAATATGCAGCAATATTAGCTTCTATAGGGAGCAAATGGACATCCCAAATCCAAAAATACAATCAGATTTCAAAAATTTAAATTTTGATTTTTCGAATTTCTGCCGCCGACTGTGACCTTGCCGACCTCGGGCGCTCCCAACGCGCCATTTTTAGAGCTAGGGAAACGAAATACATACCAAACGATAGAGAATTGATCAAGGAACACGATAGTGAAGGTTTCAAGTCGATATCTCCCACCGTTTTGCCGCAATCGCCGCGGAAAATTTGAAAAAGTCTATTTTTCCGAAAATTTGACCTTTGACCGGTCAAAAGTAGGTCAAATGTTGACCTAGGACCAAAAAATATACCACCAATCGCGAGATCTCGGCGAGAGCAATCCGTTGGTCTTTTCCGCTAAGCTCTACGACGCTCCGTTTTCAAACGCCAAGGGGGGGGGTCGCACCAACCCCCCCCCTGCATGGGCGAAGGTGGCAGATCGCCGTTTACGGGCGAGGGTTAAATCAAACGTGTCACCATGTTACGAGTCAGCTCTTATAACTGCAAATCTTCTAAACGTAATGCAGTTGGAATCAAGAAGTTGTGTGATATCTCGGATGTTGTATTCCTGCAGGAACACTGGTTATTTCCTCAAGAACTTACCCTTTTGAATAATGTTCACAATGATTTCATGACTTTTGCCACTTCATCCATTGACCCGTGTGACCGTGTAATTCTGGGTAGGCCGTATGGAGGTGTTGCCGTCCTGTGGAGGAGTAAGCTTGCTCCGCGGGTAAGACCTATCTCCTTTGATGACGACAGAATTATTGGATTAGAATGTAATTTAGGTGGCCACAAACTGCTTCTTGTTGGGGTTTATCTCCCGTATGACTCGAGACAAAACTTTGATCAATACGTGTACTATCTAGCTAAGCTCAAAGGAATCATCGATGATTTTGACTCACCCAATGTCTGCATTGTAGGCGACTTTAATGCTGACATCATCAAGCAATCTGACTTTGGAATTGAACTTGAATCATTCTGTCATGAGGCAGACTTACGCATTGCTGATGTGTTGTTATTGCCCCAGAGTTCAATCACTCATACTAATGATGGCAGTTGCACAGAATCTTGGATTGACCACATAGTCTGTACAAAGAGTCTTTACTCTCTCGTTCGTGCTGTTAGGGTTGATGTGTCGATTATGAGTTCTGACCACTTCCCAGTGTGTTGTGATCTGGAAATCATGACCACCGATCCTATCCCGGATTCACACGAGGCTGCTGAATCTGATCCTAGGTGGGTAGTTGATTGGTCTTCTGTTGACGAACTTGGTCTGAACAACTTTGCTATGGCTGCGAGGGAGCAATTGTCTAATATTGACGTACCGTTTGAGGCTATATTCTGTGCTGCCACTGACTGTAGTGTAGCCCACAGAGAGGCTATCAATAGTTATTATGAAGCGATAATTGATGCTATTAAGAGTGCTACTCTTACTACTGTGACCAAACGAGCGCATGGTAGCTGTAAGCGAACAATCCCAGGTTGGACCGAGTTTGTGGAGGAGAAACACACCTTGTTCGGTGATGTTTACTCCCTTTGGTCCCTGGTTGGAAAGCCCCGTCAGGGCTACATCTACAGCCAGTTGCGAATGGCTAGGTCACAATTCAAGTATGCGCTTCGTTTTTGTCTTAAGAATGAGAAAGAGCTGCGAGCAAAATCACTAGCTGATAAATTTGCTAAAAACCCGCGCGACTTAGCAACTTTTTGGAAAGAAGTTCGTAAGCTTAACGCTGATCCGCCACTGGCCCAGTCTATTGGAAGCGTCAGTGGAGAGAAAAATATAGCGAACATGTGGAAGGATCACTTTGCTGATATTCTGAATAGTGTTGATGGCGATGACTGTAAAGAAGGTGTTCTGAATCAGCTTCGTAATGATGGTGAAGGTGCTGATATGTTCTCGGTTCCTAAGGTTTTAGAATCGATCCATGAGCTGTCGTCAGGTCGCTCTCCAGGTTGTGACAGTCTATCTGCTGAACATTTTAAGTTTGCGGGTGTTCCATGTGCTACGCATCTATCGTTATGTTTCTCGATGATGGTGAGACATGGCGTCTTGCCTCCTTCTTTGTCGAAGGTGATACTTCGCCCTATTGTGAAAGATCGGACAGGCAAATTGACTGATAAGGATAACTATAGGCCAATAGCTTTGGCCACGGTGAGCTCTAAAATACTGGAGCGGGTCATACTCACTCGATGTAAAGCAAGTCTTCTCACTAGCGATCATCAGTTTGGATTTAAGGAGGGCCACTCCACCGATATGGCTGTGTATGCGTTAAAAGAAATTGTGGACCACTATTTGCGCAATAGGAGTGCAGTCTTTGTCTGTTTTCTGGACGCTAGAAAGGCGTTTGATCGCGTGAACCATTGGACTCTATTTGATAAGCTGTTGAGTAGGGGAATGGATAATAGCGTTGTAAGGCTCCTCGTTCGGTGGCGAGACTCACAGAGGTATCATGTGCTTTGGGGTAAAACCCTCTCTGAGGA